GTGTGTGTGTGTGTGTGTGTGTGTGTGTGTATGTGTGTGAGTGTGAGTGTGTGTGTGTGTATGCGTGTATGTGTGAGTGTGAGTGAGTGAGTGTGTGTGTGTGAGTATGTATGTGTGCGTGTGAGAGTGTGTGTGTGTGTGTGTGTGTGTGTGAATGAGTGTGAGTGAGTGTGTGTGTGTGAGTATGTATGCGTGTATGTGTGCGTGTGTGTGTATGCGTGTATGTATGCGTGTGCGTGTGTGTGTGTGTATGCGCGACGCTCGCTTTAAAAACACGCCGGTTACAAACCGGAAGTGTCGGTGTTTAATCGAGCGCGTTCTGTCTGCGCAACAGCGACGCAGCCTGGCGTCAGACTCCAGCAGCAGACGCCTGTCAGTTCTACACTATCACCTGCTGTGACACACACACACACACACACACACAGCACGGGGATTGATTTAGATAAGAGCCATACACGGATCTCCTACGTGCCCTTTAGAGTTAGAAAAACATGTCTGACAGCTGCTGCTAGCATGTGAGCTAATGCTTAGCAGCGCAGGAGGAGTCATGCTCAGGTCAAAGTAGTAGCACTGTCTTGCTGCTTCATTTATTTCGAAGAAAAACATGGCAGAGATCTTTTCCCGCTGGAATATGTTTAGAGTCGGGTGGAGAGGCGTGAAGTTGAGCAGGAAAGTCACTCATGCAGCTGTTTCTGCGCAGACGCAGCGCCGCTACAGCACAGTGAGTTCACGCTCATTATTATTATTATTATTATTATTATCGTTCATAATTTAATCCTCAGTAATTATAATCAGCCAACAAGCACCCCAAACCACAGCAAGACGAGTAGTGTTACGAGCTCTTAGGCTTGTGTTGTTTTGTTTTCATGAGTTTCGGGTCAGTTTCTGGCTGTGTTTCAAAACGTTGTGAGCTGCCTATCTAGACAGCATTTTCGGTCCAAACATTATATTATAATCGTGTATATACAGTTGTATATTATTATAATTATAATATGATACTATAATTATTTCTAAGGATGTTTATATAATATGATATAAAATATTATTATATATGTATATTTATATACATTTTTATATGCAAAATAAAAAATAAATATATATATAATAAATACAGTACTATATAAATTGATGTAAACTATTTTATATGCAATATATATATATATATATTTTTTTTTTATTACATTTTAATGAAAAGAAAAGCAACAAAAATGCACAAAAAGTGTCTAAAAGCCTCTGATACTCAAAAATGATGCCCAGGTAAGCAGCATACTAGGTTTGGACACGCAGCCTTTGATATTTGGCAAGAGAATGGAAATTTTGCAATTGATCTACATGAACTTTCACCTGGATTTATGGGATGTTTCCCCTTAAATAGCACAGCAAATGTGAGGGGACGTGCTCGAGGTTTCACTTTCCTTTTGCAGGACATGTGAAAACAGTCATTAGGGGGTGGTGTGGCATCATGGTTTAGTTTGGCCTGAATTTGATCTGTAACTTGAAGGTTGTAGGTTCAAATCCCTACTCAAACTATCACCATTGTGACCTTGACCAAGACAAAAAAGTGACCCTGGACCACAAAACCAGTCATAAGGGTCAATTTGTTTTAATTGATTGATTTATACATCATCTGAAAGCTGAATAAATAAGCTTTCCACTGATGTATGGTCTGTTAGGATAGGACAATATTAGACTGAGATTGAGATTATTTGAAAATCTGGAATCTGAGGGTGCAAAAAACATCTAATTATTGAGAAAATCATCTTTAAAGTTGTCCAAATGAAGTTCTTAGCAATGCATATTACTAATCAAAAATTACGTTTTGATATATTTATGGTAGGAAAGTTTCAAAATATCTTCATGGAACATGATCTTTACTTAATATCCTAATGATTTTTGGCATACAAGAAAAATGGATAATTTTGACCCTTACAATGTATTTTTGGCTATTGCTACAAATATCCCCCAGCGACTTAACACTGCTTTTGTGCTCCAGGGACACAAGTAAGTGCTAACTAACTAATAAAAACTTTCAATTAATATTGTTTTGAGGATGTGTGTGAACAGGAGTGCAGCTTGTTTGGGCTTCTGTTTGACATCGACGGGGTGCTGGTACGCGGACGGACGCCCATCCCTGCAGCCAAACAGTGTTTTAGGAACCTGGTGGACGGCGATGGAAAATACAAGGTTCCTGTGGTGTTTGTGACAAATGCGGGAAACTCTCTGCGAGAAACCAAGGCCGAGCAGCTGTCTCACCTTCTGGAGGTTGAGGTGAGACACCTGACGACAGGTGTAACCACAAATATTCCCACACATGACATGTGATTTGTCTACATGTGTCCGAGAGTAAGACGGGACGGTTTGATTTCTCCACACAGGTGTCAGCAGACCAGGTGGTGCTGTCCCACAGTCCTCTGCGGGTTTTCACTCAGTTCCATGACTTGTGTGTGCTGGTGTCCGGACAGGGGCCCGTG